ATCATCAACAACAACAAAAAATCTATATAAACCTTTTATTTTTAATAAGGGGTCATTAAATCTTAAAAAAAAACAGTCATAGCCCTGAAGGAGAAATGACAAATTGTTAAAAACAAAAGTGCTGTATTGAGAAGAGAAGTCAACTTCATCAGGTTTTTATTTCAGGCKATCAGTTTTCTCTTTTACAGTTAACGTTAGATTTGAAGGACAACTGATAAAAAAGGAGACCCAACTCTGAATTTAAATTAAGTGTCCATCCTATAGCTAAACATAACTAAATGGCAGGTTTCTCATCACTGGCTCAGAAATAACTTTAAAKATGTTAAAAGTGCTTTTAGTGCCTTTGCTGCGTTTTCCTGAGAATATTTTTTTGGAAGAGCTGTTTTCAGGCTTTCATATCTTCTCCWCTTCATCAATCCATTTTTAAATTTGCCCCTAGAGCTGTTTCTCCTAAAGCATAGAAAAAAGAGGGGGGAAAAAAGGATAATGGCTTGATGTAGTTGCATGTCTCTTCTAGCCGAGTGGCTAGTGCCCCACTGACCCCGTACCTCTATAATGGACTCAGCACATAAATATGAAGCTTTGGACTTGAAGGCACTAACCCTGAAAGTCAGCATTTCTGGGTCAGTGGTCGAGCACACTCGGTCCTTACAGGACTATCTGCTGATGATGCTTTGTGTAATAGAAGTAATAGCTCTGTATACACACATACACAAAAAGTGTGTTCAGAGCCTTCAGAAGACAAATTAGCTGTGGGCCGCATTTTTTTTCTGTGCTTGTGAACAATTTGAATTTTTAAAAATATACTCCTTAGCAAACTCATCAGTGGGGCTTGCTTTGCAGTGTTTCCCTTTAACCTTGAGCATACACATGTACACATTTTTACGGTACAGCAAAATACACGGCCTGGCCAAAAAATGTCACCACCTGGATTTAACTAAGGGCTATGATGTGGGGTTGCTGCAGTTGGTCAGGTCCAGGTTCAGAAACAGTTTGTGTTCAGAGAATGAGGTCAGCTGACTACCTGAATATACTGAATGACCAGGGGCCTCATGTATAAACGGTGCATAGGCATAAAATAGTTGCGTGAAACAGATTCTACGCCCACATTGGGATGTATCAAAACCAACGTTGCGTGAAAGTCTGCGCCCGGCCAGCAGACTTGTMTGTCAAAATTTCATTAGGCCCAAGAAATATATACATTTCACAAACAAAATTCTAATCAAAACAAACAACAGTAAAAAAAAAGAAGAAGAACAAAAATTAGTAAGGACGATCATACACACTATTAGTCAGGATTGTGGTTGGTGTTTGTTGCATCACCTGACCTTGAATTCGTCAGAATGTTCACCTATGTCGTTTATATTTTGGAAAGACCAGCTCAATAAAAATTCACGGTTGAGAGTCCCGGACAGTTAAACACATACTGAATGCAAATGATCTCAAAATTACTATTTTTTTTTCCTTCTATGATGATGAGTTTATCAATAATAAAAGACTCCTCAGAGGGAGTTCTGTTGATCCTCAGTGATGAAGATATATCAGCTCATTTACCAAAAACTGCCCTTTTGTGTTTGCCCTTCAGTTCAGGGACTACGCTTGAAAAATAATGATCATTAAGGGAGYGCTTGATTTTTTTAAATTTATTTTATTTTTCAAAGGGTCTGTTCTTAGAAGCATCAAGATTTAACTTTCCTCTGTGGAAAGGGCAGATGTTATCTTTTGCAACATGGCTTTAAATTTTAAAGAAACTTGCTTWTCTAGTTCTTTAGACCTTTGGAATCTGCTCATTTATGTGCTCCGTGAAACAGACCAAAGGCATTATCAAAGACTTTAGGTGGAGGAGTCAAGCTCTTAATTATCAGGATTATGTTTCTATGTTTAAAGGGAAATATCCTAATAAATCTTCTGACTGCTTAGGGCATGAAATGTGCATGCTGGTTTAATGCCCAAGCACTGTATGTCTGTGTGCAAGTATAATAATATGACATTTACAAAAGACTAGCACAATGCAATGATATCACAAAAGTGTTACAGTGTTTTGTGCWGTCAATTTCTGCAGAGTAGAAGAAATTAGTCTAAGATGAGACAATGGTTTGTTTGTGATGATTAATAAAAGAAAAATCCTAAAATCCTGTTTTCCTGCAGGGGCAGCAACTTCTGGACCTGGAGCACAAACTAACTATAGCCAAGGAGGAGTTGGAGAAGACCGCATTAGATAAGGTGATGAAATTATGGTTTTACTTTCTTCTTGTGTAATAACAGGCCTTTAACATTTTGATATTTGTATGGGGTACATTTAAATGTCCTATTCTGACTGTGCAATCTGTAAAAAACAGAAATGCACCATTTCAGTTTATGGGTACATAAATCATGTATAGCAGCATAAACAGCTGTTTTGGAGAGAAGAGTTTGAACGCCGGTGTTAAGATTGTACATTAATACTGAAACCACAAATATTATTATTTTTTCATTATTAAGGCAGTGTTTTCACAGACTTTAGCATCCACCCCTTGAGTAAAACACATCCAGCTTTAATTTGTGATTTACAGTAACTTATTTATACATGTAGGTTCTGACAGTGTTTGCAGGGGTTATTTGGATGAGTTAAAATTGCATGGAAGGGAAATGCTGATGAGGAAACAGGTAATTTCAGTGCTCATCTCAAGAGTATTGACATCCAGGGCTGTAGTAAAATAATTACACTAATAATTCTGTCTATCATTATTGATTACAAGTAGATGATTTTTTTTGACATTTTAGTTTCTTTTTTTATTACTCTGGTGGGTTCTGCTTCATGTMTTTCCTAACAATGCCTTCTAGGTGTTTTGCACTCACTCTTAAGCATGACCCAGTCTGGCTTTATTGCTTTAAGTACATATTTCATGTGGATAGACGGAGCGATGGAGGGATTCAGAATTCATCTGTGTGTAATCTTTTTTGGGGACAGGAGTCGCAGCTGAAGGCGCTGAAGGACACAGTTCACATCTGCTTTTCAGCTGTCCTCCACAACCAGCCCAGCAGCAGTCACCGATTCCCCACCTCCCCCACCCACTTATTCAGATACTCATCACTCATCAACAGCTCCAGAGTCACCTTTCAACAGCCACACGCAAAGGTAATTCACTTTTCCGCACAGCTCCTTCTGATTTAATGTTTTCCCAAAAGATGGCCTGGGTGTTGTAAATGCCTCACCTTTTCATAACTACCAAAACGGTAAGGAGATTTGCACAGTTTAGCATATTTCTCCTGTGGATGAGGTCCYGTTGTCCTTGAACATAATGTCTTCCCGTAAAATGTCAATATGGACTCTGTCAAGATGTTTTTACATTCKATGTATTTGTTGCCTTTCATCCAATTCGATACCTGGTGAAGAAATTGGGCCTTCTAAAAGTCTGTGTCTTCAAGCTGTGATTTAACAAGCTYTTGTTTTATCAGCACCATGTGATGCTTTGGCATTATGGCAAATGTGCACAAAAAGGGGACTTGGTATCCCATCTCAGTGAAGCAGGTAGTAAAACAAAGGTTTGTTGTGTCCATAATCAGAGACATTAATCTGTTTTAATATTTGAAAATATTTCCTAAAGCTAGTGCCACTTGTGATTACAGAAGCACAGTACATTGAAATATATATTGTCTTTGCAATATTAGACAGCACAATACCAGTAGTGAAAAGGACTACTTGGACTGCAATAAATCATGCATTCAAGTTCTGTAATACAGTATGTTTGTTCAATACATCACACTATCACTGGCTTTGATGCACCTGATTTATGATGAGGAGTGACAGAATAATGTTTTTTTCTACMACCAATACTGTCATTATATGTTCAAGCATGATGTCACACTTCACAAGTTTTTCTAATATTATGCAACCTTACTTTAATGCCTTTATTAAAGCAACACAATCAGTGGTGGACAAAGTACTCAACTCTAGTACTTGAGTAAAAGTATTGATACTCATGGTCAAATCTACTCCACTACAAGTAAAAGTTACTCAGTCAAAAATCTACTCAAGTAAAAGTACTGAAGTACTTACTTTTGAAAATACTTAAGTATTCAGAAGTACATGCATTTTAAAGTACTTAAG